TATACACTTTAGGTGGCATAAATGGGAGTACCTCATTTAAGATGGCGCTTGCTATCAGCAGGTTTTACATTTGCACTTAAAAATAAAATAAGAAGTAAAAAAATAAAGTAAGTTAAATAAATAAATGTGCTGGTTGATTGGTCAGGACACCATTTTCATAAATAAATAAAAAATTGGTTAACCATTTAATTCACTAAATGTTGCAGTCCTACTTTAATTGCCTGTCATGTTGGCAAAATATGCATGATATAAAAGAGCAATATTGTTAACACAATAAAACAGTGAAATAAATAATAGCTGGTAGATTTTTATAAAATTTATTTTACGTATGTCATATGTATATTCACTCTCACTGAATCCCATGCACCATAACTATTGATAAGCTCTGGTTTTTTCTAAGGCCAGGAAAGGTCAGGCCCCCATATGGGATATCTTTGCCAGCTTCCCACCATCTCTAGTTTTCCCTGTGGCCTTCCCCAATTTTACCAGGGGTATGTGTAGAGGAGGTAAACTGGCATCAGAAAAGGTTCTCACTTTGTTCCTGATGACACAGTTGTGTTGCCAGGAATGCTGGGATCTGTAGCTCTTAATTCCTCCCTGCTCAAACCATCAAGACAAGAAATTAAACTTGATTTAATCTCCACTGGGTTGCAGGGTCACAGTAATAACTTAAAGGTGGGTTCTTCAGGGTCCCTAGCTTTCTTTAGCTCTAGTTTACCTACCCTTTCTCTCCCCTCTCCCCAGCTCAGTAAATTTGGGGTGGTAGGAAAGCAGCAGGGAATATGAAGATGACTGACACTTAGGCAAGCTAATTATGGGCTAAGACAAACTTGGGTTAGTTTGCAATTAGAATGGAGGAAATTCTGAATTTTGGCCCCATCCATTGTTGTGCAACTAGGGACTGCAGTGTCGGATTCCTCCAGCTTCTGATCTCTGACTAAGCCAGGCACTGGTGGGAAATTAAATGACTGCACAGCTATCTCAACTTTTCTGTGCCATGCCCTTTTCAGTACTTAGGGTGGTGAGGCAGAAAGATGTAAACCATTTGTACTGCCCTAATCATGGCTGTTAAATTGAATGAAGAGTCATGCATATCTGAATAAAAACCAAAAACTATCAATGAAGAAGGCAATTTACTTCCCATGTTCATTGCTAAAAGGAATCATTTTGCAACTCTGTACTGCAAGGTCCATTTAACCAGTGTTGAATTGGCCCAGCTAATTACAGAGCTGTCATTTTAGATGAACTTGCAGCGTATAACACTCCTTCCTCATGCTTTGTTTCTGCATCCCTTTTTTATTTATTATTGTACTCCATTATGCAGAAGTAGAAAAGCTTCCCCACCCCCCCTGCTGCTAGTATTTCCTTTCATCAGCACACTGACTCAGTTGGTTCAAGCTTGACACGAAGCAATTTTGGATGCGTCATTCATGTGAATCAGTGCTATGAGCAATCCTTTCACTAAAGGGGGGGGGGAAATAAAGTAAAATAATGTATAGGGAGGTAGGGGGGTACACTTTCTAATGAGTCAAAAAATTCTTCATAGAAATCCCCTCTGTTCTCCTCAGCGAGTGAGTGAATGAGGAATTGCAGTGGTGAATTCCGTTTTTTAAAAAAGATCAGATATATTAAAACCAAGTCTTTTGTGTGAGCTCGCTCTTTCTTCTTCTGTCATAAGAGAGTGCTGGTGTGTGTTAGTACAGAGTGCTGGAATACTGAAACACAGATTCCTTCTCCACCTCACCCCTGGTCTTTCATGAACTTTAAAAGGAATCTCAAACAGTTGAGATTTCCCAGAAGTCCTTATGTAACTTTCTGCACAGAACTAAGAGCACAGGAGGCAGAATGCTGATCAGGGAGAAGAGGGCTGTAGAGAGCTCTCCTGGTGGTACAAGCTGCCTGATGCATTGACAGCTGGCATCTTCTTGACTTTCATCATTTTTTCCTGTGCCTTCCAGAACACATGTGCCAAAAGTCAGGTTTGTTCTATGATCTCAAAGTCTGGCACAACAAAAGATACAAATTATGTGCAGAAAGTTCTAGACTAAGTAGGATGAGAAGATACTAGCCAAAGCTGAGCTTTGTCATGACCCTGGGGTCAGACTCCCCTTCTTCAGCTGGATGAGGCTGGGGATTCAAGATGGGAGAGCGAATTGCTCTCAGGGCCAACCCCAGAATACATACCAAGAAGCATTTGTGCAAGAGAAGCCCATTGCGCCAGTACCTCTACAGCCCAAGAGGGTCATGTTGCCCTCCTCTGATTCTGCTCAGTGTAACGTCTGCTTCCCACACTCAGTCAGAGTCCATGACTCCTAAAGCAGGCTGGGCACCATTAAACAAAAAGTCTCTTCACGCAGTTGGTGGAGCAAGTTACTTGGACAGAGCTGAAAATATTAATTTAGATTCAATCTGAGGATGGCTGCTGATGAAGCAGCATTTGGGCTGTTTGAGCTGTGCTCTTATGGAATCCTCAGCCTGAGCCCTGCATGGAGGTGTCCAAGGGGTCTGTGAAGCCCCACCTCGCCTCCTCACTGCCAACTTCATCATTCAAAAAAGAGCAATGATTCATTAAAAAGTCAGAGCTATTTTGGATACCCACACAGTAGTCTTTTGATGGCTTTCATTCTAATTCAAGAGGGAGGGAATAGCAACTGCATGCAAGATTGGCCAAACAGTGGCTGACTTGGAAAAATCTCCTTTGTTCAGACAGTTTCCCATACCTCTTCATGTCATCTTAGGTCTATGATTGACCATAGGAAACTGTCTTATACTGAGTCAGACCATTGGTTCATCTTAGCTCATTGTTATCCACACTAACTGACGCAGCTTCGGCATCGCTCTGGCTCCCGTTCTGGGGGCTGGGGTCGGGGGAAGCTCGGGCTTCCCCCGCCCCCAGCCCCGCGCCTGTGGGGGGGGAAAATAATTTTTTCCCCTTTATTCCCCCCCCCCAAATCTAGGTGCGTCCTATGGGACAGTGCGTCCTATAGGGCGAAAAATACGGTATACTAAAAACATACAACAATAATAACTAAAAGCACACATTTCCACCCATAAAATTATCACAAGCTGTCACCATTGCAGGGGATTGGACTTAGATGATCCTCAGGGTCCCTTCCAACTCTATAATTCTATGATTCTGTAAAACAGAAAGCAGCTAAAAACCATCCATTGAACAAACAGGTGCTAGTCTTCACCTTTTAAAGCCCTAAATGGCCTTTATCAGAAGGGAACGCCTTCATAAGCTAAGATCATCCAGGAAGGCATTTTTGAAGATACCCATCAGAGGTTCGATGCATGAGTAACCATGCTTGAACCTTCTCAGTAGTGGCACCACACATCTAGAATTCTCTGCTCAGATATATTTACCTGGCTATTTCATTGTCCTCCATTGGGATGGATATCCCGGTTTTGGAGGGCTTTTGACATGCCCAAGATGAAATGACTCAAACTGAAATACTGAAAATCCTTAGTTTGGTAGATGGAATGTTGTTATAATTCTCCTGCATTTATTATCCTATTGTGTACTGTATGGTTTCATAATTTAAAATGGTTTTGGAATTGTTTGTTGTGCATTAGCATGGTGTTTTAATTGAAATGTACTAAGCAAGTTTTAAACAGGTATCACATTGCAAAGGAAAAGTTAGGCCGGGGTAGCCATCCCAGATAATATAGACTACAACTCCCATCATCCCTGTCTATTGACCATACTAGCTGGGACAGATAGGAGTTGCAGTCCAAAATATCTGGAGGACACCACATTCATTAATCCCGGCTGTATCCAGGTAGACTAGGAAGCATGGGAAGAGATGCCTAGATGCTGCTGTGCATGGTTGCAGCAATGGCCAGGCCAGTTTGCTACATTTTGATGATTATCTGTACTATTCAGAGCAGACCCATTGAAACAAATGGATAAGTAACTCAAGTCTATTAATTTCAGTGGATCTTATCTGATTATGACTTAGTTTGGATATCACCCTTTGTTCATTTATTTGTAACCTACCTACAAACTGAAGTAATTGAAGTGGCCTCCTCCCCAACATCTCACACCTCTCACCTGGGTAAATACAGAAAAGGGATGGGAGCATGAAGTTTGAAAAAGGTTGCCTTTGCGACATGGTGAAGAGGAGCTAATATTAAGTTTTGCTAGAACATGTACTGCTAAATCCATTGTGTGTCAGGCAATCAAACAATCATTTGATCTGCATGAGCAAGTGAAAAGTCAAGAAGTTAGGTTACTGCCCTGAAAGCTTTTTTTCCTGTCAAAAGGAAACTGACCCATTTAACCAAGGCAGAGACATAAATGAGGGCGTAGTCCATACACATCTGACTAAGTCATTGGACAAAAGTTCACAACTAAACTATCAGAAGTCATTCTTTTGCCCCAAATGTTGTGTAAAAATTATGTTAGGTGAAATCACAATACTGATGAGAGGGATTTTCTTTCTAGTGTGTGTTGTTTTTCATATTCTCCTGGGGAAATAACAGTACCATTTCATTAGCAATTAGTTATGCCTGGTTTTTTAAACAAAAAATCATTGTCATCATATTGCAGCATCTATCTTAAATGAATAAGAGAGCTCATCTTTCAAAGATCCTGTCACAGTTATGAAATACAGTCTAAATCTGGGTTGTAGATTATTTGAGACTGCTAATGTGCTCATATTCAAGTAAAATAACATGTCCAGGAATCATTGCCAGTCATACAACTAGACTCTATTAGCATTTATAATTTGACCTCTGAGTCTCTATGTCTAGTAGTAAATTGAAAGCATACTCATTAATTAAAGAGATTGTAATCTCCTTCTGGCAGGGATTTATCTTTTGCCTGTGAATATATGCAAACCAGCGTATATCCTGATGCTGTTATATAAATAATAACAGTAAATAATAATACTGAGTCTGGGACGTTGTCACAGTTATAAGATCAGTATATAATATGATAAATTGGCCATAGGATTTAATTCAGAAATACATTCCTTTTCCCCCCCTTTTGCTTCTAGGAGTTTCTTTCAACAGTGTTTACACACAGATTTGGAGAGTCCTCTTACACTTGGCTGCTGACCCATACCCAGATGTTTCAGACTTGGCTATGAAAGTGCTCAACAGCATTGCTTACAAGGTAAACTATTGAATTCTCAAGATTTCGCAAACTATAAATAAGTGGCTCTTGCACTTCTCCTTTTGGAAGGCTTTCTGTAATGATGTTACCAGTCAGTGAGAGCTTGTAGAATAGATTCTCACATAAATTTGCTTATTTTGGTTGTTACTTTTTATTTATGGTCTACTTTAATCGAAGAACTATAGCCTGAGGAATAGCACTTAAAATGAAAAGAAATAGTTAATTCTCCATACCCTGCAAACAAAACAACAACAACAACAACAAAAACTTGCAATCTAAATCAAGTAAAGGTCATACAGGGGGAAAGGGGGAAATTTTAAAATTATGCATTATGTTATTAGACTGAATGTGCCTTAATCCCATTAATAAACTTGTTCTGATTTCCTGTAGCAGTCCCCTTCCCAAAAACACAATATACAACTATTCATCCTAGTTCAGCTCTGCTTTTGTGGAGGAGTTGAAACTTAACTCTTAACATTGCCCTTCTTTGCCTTCTGCAACTCTGCCCTCTGAGGGGAGAAAGAAAAAGGAGAGTAGATGCTCAAACAGCTCCAGAAGAGCGTAATAGGCAACTGCTAGCAGGAAGGTAGTAGTTATTAGAAGGAACTGAATTATGTAACATGAATAACCCTGTAGATAGGGCTTTCCTTTAATGTCTAGCTAGTAAATTTGACTTGCGGTTTTGGTTATTTTCTTTGCAAACTCATTTAGATTATGCAAGTGAGAGTAAGACTGGATTGCAGATTGAAGCCACAACTGCTGCCCAGTGCAGGTGATCTAGTACATGTGAGTCAGCATGCAGACACCCCATCCCACTCCTCACTTCTCCTGTATGGATTGAAAGCACCACCATTATTGCTATTCTTCATTTTGCAAGGATGATGTGTGTTTCACTCCAGAGGCTGCCATCACTGCTGTTTTTGGAATTATTAGCACAAATAGTGTTGATTAACTGGGCTGTTTTGGAAATCACCTGTGATAACAAATCTTCTACCACAAACAAAGCACTCCCTAAACATTTAGATAATATTTGCTCTTGAAAATACTTCCCCCATCACTCTCTAGATTGCAGCTAGGGGCTATTTGGATATTGTCTTTCTTATGTTCTTGGCTCAAGCCCTTCTGGTTGCTCCAACAAACAAACATGAGCCAGTCCAACATGAGGTGAGATCTCTTGCTGATTATTCATTCCAACAATGTAGCTCAAGAACTTGAGGCTAAATGTGCTATGAGAGATGTCACTATTTTAGTGCGCTGAGAGGTGTCCTGTTTAAACTTGTTGTTCTCCTTACAGTGCTATTTTTTCTTTTAAAATGTTTCTTTGCTGGCACCCATGACCCACTGATTCATCTCAGCTGATTGGCTAAATCTCTTTGGGTAGTTTTACGACTTTGTACCAGATGAACTTAAGCATAAGGAATGAAAAATCTTGTGCCTGATACCGAAAATGAATGAAGGGGGAGATTTATATTTTAAATCTCTGCTCTTGCTCGTATCATTGTTACACTTACATTCGTAAGATAAAGCGATCAACAATATGGATCGACAATATGGATGCACATATACAGTGCACTTGCCTGTAGACCAGGTTTCTGCTACTTAGATACAATAGAGTATGAGTATGACAGTTCTGGGTAATCCTTTCTTGCTCTCCCTTTCAATCAGTATAATAATAGAATTATTCAATGATGCCTCTGGCTATTTGCACATATTGGAATTAAAGCTGATGTACTTTCATGTGTGGCATAACAGAATTGCAAGGTGGACAGGATCTATGATGGACCGTGCCATTCCCGACCTCCAGGAAATATATAGAGATGATATATAACAGGAAGCACTACTCAGCCATATGATTCGCTTTTCCCATCGTTCACTTTGGTTATACAGTTGCTGCTGCCAAATCAGTTAATGGTATGATAATAGTTTAAATCATTGTTGAACTAGTGGCATTGGCATGGCTGAGAAGCAAGGTCTTCCAATATATGCTCATTCAAAGGGAGCTCAGACAGCAAATAGTGAATAGTGGTATTATTTACTGTCTCTGTCAAAGTTGCCTTTTCTCTCCATCTTGAAAGTGCCAAACTTGATATGATAGAAGCTGAGGTGTCCAGGCAGTACCACATTTTATATGGTTGGTAGGCACACATGTGCTATATGTTTCTGAAGGTGACGGAGGAGGAAGAGGAGTCATATTGTGACTTCTTCATCATAATTATGGATGGGCAGTGTTCCCTTTGAATAGCATCACCAGGTAAATAAAAATTTCATTATATTTCTGGACACCACAACCTGCATTTCTGTTTACACTTTATACAATATACATCACCATATTTTGGAGGGAACCATTTCCTTAGCTTACAAATAAATTACACACACACACACACACACACACAACCCAAATGCTTTGTGCTTATATCGCTAAGGAAAACCCATGGCAATTGTGCAGGTCCTCAGACTTGGAAGGGGAGAGGCCATGTCCCACGACAGTCAAAGAAGCTTGGGATAGCTCAAGTCCAGATGGCCTTAGAATTTGCAAATATGATAAGGTTAGTATGTGTGACTGCAGAAACCAGGGATTGGGAAATAGTAAAGGGAGCAGAAAATGTTCTTTGTGGCCAAGGATTTTAGCTGCTGCCAATTATTCACCTGCCATTCATCCTTTGTGTCTCCTACTCTTTGAGCTTTTACAACATCATGTAGAATAAATAAATTGTGGCATTTCACATTTGGCGTACTTGTTCAGATAGTCTTTTAACCTGGTGGTAATAGATGTTTTCTGCTCACACAAGAATTTCTGGATCACATCCCAGAATGTACTATGCATTTTCTTGGCTCCATAAAGAAGACAACAGAAAATGGCTACGCTTTTTGGCAGGGTGTTGTTGAGCATTCTTTGGTGGAATGGGAAATGCAGTGGAAACCTAAGTGTTTGATACATAACTGACAGTTATCATATAGTAAAAGGAACTGTTGCAGTGACCTCTTGCGTGTCCCATGAAACAGTTCTGACATAACACTGAACCTCGTGATGATTACTGGTACTGCTGAGCAGACAGGATATCTGCACTTGTGATAGGTCAGCAAAGGTTCATTATAAAGTGTTGATTCATATGTTTATCATAAGTAAACTTCATAAACGGTTGCAGCTTGTGCTTGAATCTACCCTTTTGAAGTTATGATAGAACTCATGCATCTCAGCATGAATGAAAACCAGCAGTTTCCACTTTAAATTTTATGTTCAAAGTTGAATGTCTGCCACTTCCCCATTTTTGTTGAATGTGTGAACTAGCTCCAGGTTTTTCTGTTGAATCCTCAGGAGTTACTAATTTTTTTTATCTGAACTGCCATTGTTATGTGCCTAGGTGAACTTTGCATAGTGGTCTTCCTCATCTCCTTTCAAAGCTTCCAGAGCACCTGTTTCTAAGTGACTGAACTTAAAAGGGTCAAGTTTAAACCCTTGAAGATGAAAAATTTCAGACCATTACATCATTGCCTAGGTTCTAGTTTTATGGCATTTCATTATAGTGACTGACCATACAACCTTTATCTCTCATCTCTGCTTTTTAAAATTTAGGATGATTTGACAACTCTGCATAGGTTGAATTGTGCTTTTGCTGTTGAGCAAATTTCATTCATCACAGAGGGCTTCCAGTGGGACAACTATTTTGATGTGGTTGTAAAAATATTATGTTATATTTTAGCACCTGGAATGATGGTATGAATACTCCAGAGCGTTTCTAACAGAGATTCCTACTTGCTATGTTCCTGAAAAGATGTGAAGTATGATACACTTGATCTTGAAGCATCAGATCAGCTTTATTTATACAGTCATTGGTCCATTATAAAATTCAACTGGCATAGCAGACCCCAAACAACATAGAATGCTGCCCATCACATGAAGTATGATACACACTAAACACCCATCAATCCAAAACTCACTCCTAAATCATGTGAACTCTTATCTTGAAGCATTGCAAGGCCAATTACCATGGTAAAAATGGAAACTTTTCATCAACACATCAAAATGTTCATTTAAGTTTGCCCTGCCTGTCTTTTTTAAGAAGCTAATAAAATGTGGACTTGCATTGAAAGTTAGGATTAGCTGCATGACTCTACACATGCACCAAAACAGTAAGGCTTGGCTCTGTTCAATGAATTAACTTTCATTCTGGGTAGAATTGAAATATACACGATGCCAGTGTACATGTTGGCACACTAAAGAGTTTGTGTTCCTTGGCCCTGTCTACCCAGGCTGTCAACCTTCCTTATTTTAAGTTTCTAAATTTAGCTGTAAGGGACTACCTACAAACTACTATAATCATATATACAATCATACATTTGTTTCCCCTTCTTTCCTATGAATAACTCCAAACCAGCATGTCAAAAGATTTTCCCTCCAGATTAGCAAGATTGTAAACCTTTGACATCAAAATATATAACAGGAGTGTTAACAAGGCCTTGAGCTACTGGAAGGGATGTATTGCTTCAGAAGCTGCTGTACATCTTGGCTGTGGTGTTAGGTCAAACAGTTTAGGGGCCTGAACATCTTCTCTTCTTTCAGAGCACTGTATTGTGTACCACCAAACACAGACAAATACTGTTGTTGAGTCATAACAATATTGTTATTAATGCTAAATATTTCAGTTCTGATCCAAAGTTCCTGCTGCAGAAAGCTGTCCTCTGAAAAGCCTCCCTAAAAAGTCTCCTAGTTTCCTGAAGTCAGTTTTATTTGCAGAGAAGGAAGAAAAGCTGTTTTCTCCTATGTTAACATAAGTGCCTTCCATATTGCAAGCTAACCTGTGGCCCTCCAGGTGTTGCTAGACTACAGCTTTATAGCTTCAACCACCCCTGACCTTTGACCATGGAGTCCAACAATATATGGATGTATCCTGGATTTAACCTACAACTAAAAGCCTTTGAATATTGGGAAACATAAAGTATGTTTCCAGTTCTGGTGTGACTTGCAGGTTCCCTGTGAAGAAACTAGCCTACACCACTGATTAGGGTCAGATGGAGAAGAATATTTTGTCCGGTCCTAGAAGACCATATAAAGGTTCTGGGTTTTAATAACCGCATGTCCTCAACAGAAGAGAATCAGCAGGGGAATAAGCGTTAGACAAGAAGGGTTTCAAAAATATAATTTACTGCTACACAAATTCCATAGCCATCTAAGACATGACGGAGAGCCAATTTGATCCCAAAATGTAACCTGTCACGCTGGCTGTTCCAGCAGCAGCTTCTCACTCATATAGATGTGGCTGTTACTACATCAACTGCAATTTCCCCGATCAAGGGTATGGTGCTAGTGATGGCCTTGAACCTTTTCCTAATGAGCTGGGGAGGAGAGAAGAAAACTGCCTCAAAAGGCCGGCTCAACAAGGTGAAATCTGAAGGAGAGAGGCAATATGTGCCCTCAAGCACGGCTGCTGCAATCATCCAGTTTGCACCCAGCAATTTAGGGTGTAAAGTGCAAATGCAGGTACAATTGGAAAATGGCCTGCTGTTCATGCTATTTATTTCCCCGAGTTCCCAAATGCCTTGTCAGTGGCTCTTTACACCTTTTGTGTAAACTGCAGAGATCTTAATGGTCATAGTTTCAGTCTCTTTTGAATTTGACACACCCTATAAGTGAAGCGTCTGCTAAATAAGAAGCCTGGTTTTTCACACTTCTTTGCCTGTTCCCATCTCTCCCTTATCTAAGATTTCTAAAGGCAGTGAAAGAAGCTTATCTGAATACCTTTTGGGAATTGCAAGAACTGCTGCACATATTTTCCTGCTTCTTTGTTGTTATGGTTGTTGTTGGTTTTAAAGTTATTGCTGCTGCTGTTTCTGAAGTTATTGCCTCAGAATCTATTACCTCACGCCAGCCCAGTATCTCAAGTGAATTTGGAGGGAAGTGACTCCAGTTATGAGGTCAGAAAGTAGTTTTTCTCCCCTGAATGCAGAGGGAATTTTTTTCCATCTATGGTTTCAGGTGGGTTAAGCTACTTTTATAAAGCACCATTTGTCCATTTGTTTGCAGATTTGAATGTTCTAGTTCCTGGTAATCTGTCGCTACAGTATTTTGGAAGGAACTTTTGCTGAGGCATCAAGTTCAAGTTGGGCATTTTGGTCAGATTGGTCATTTTAATGAGTTTTTCATTTTATAAAGGTAACCTCATTTGCCTGTTTTCTATTGCCAAATCCTGCCCCCAAAGTACCAGTGCAAATGTTAACATATTATATCTTGCATATGAATTAGGAACCTTTTATTAATAGGCATCAGATGAACCCTTATGTCGGGCATGGCCAAACTTGGCCCTCTAGCTGTTTGGGGATTACAATTCCTATCATCCCTGGTCCTGTTAGCTAGGGATGATGGGAGTTGTAGTCCCAAAACAACTGGAGAGCCAAGTTTGGCCATGCCTGCCTTATGTCGTAAGTGCATATATCTAAGCAATACCATAGCAATGCTGAAGACTTCTTCCACCATTGATACTGACGTTCAGTAAGGTTATTCCTGGTGGTAAAAATAATTTTATTCCCATGATTGGCATTTGTTCTTTCTCAGTTTTTCCATTCTTTCTTTCCTAGGCGACGGTAAATGCCCGCCCCCAGCGCATCCTTGATACTTCTTCCCTCACACAGTCTGCCCCAGCCAGTCCTACCAACAAGGGCATGCACATACACCAAGTGGGGTAAGTACTACATCTTAAATCCCTTGTTATTCATAGCTGATTTTGTGCTTAAGGAGCAGTGTGCATCTGTGTGCCATGCAGACATTCAGCTGTCTGGAGAGGTAAGCTATGGTATATTTCACACAAGGGGACAATTTAGGACAAATTTCTCTCTCTGTAAAACTGATCTGACAATCCTTGCAATGAAGGCTGCAACACTGCAAAAGTATCCCTCTAAATTGACCCTGACTCATCCCACATTAGAGATGCTTTCAAATCCCTTTGCCAAAAGTTAGTCAGAAGTGACATATACAGTGTCCTACGTAACTCTGTTGAAGCCATCAAAGAAGGAGATTAATCTCTGTGTTGGAAAAAGTGTTGATCTCATCCTATAATGTCTGAAATGTGACACAAATGGTTTTTCCCTCCCTGAGGATAGGAGAATGTATTGGGAAGTTGTTGCATTGTCTGTTTCCTAAAACATATATTCAGTTACTTAAAATGCTACCCTTCAGACATTATAGGATACACACTTTTTCTTGGTTTTTGAATGACCATAACTCTGTAGTAGAGCATCTGCTTTGACTGCACAAGCTCCTAGGTTCAGGCTCTGGTTATCTCCAAATAAGGCTGGGACACCACAGTCCTGGAGAATTGTTGCCAGTTGCCAGTCGCACCAATGGTCTGACTCGGTTCCAGATTGTGTGATTGCGGTGTAGGGGATAATGCACCGAATATAATGCATGGCTTTTAGGTACTAATTAGAAGTGGGGGAAAGTTTCTCAGAACATACATTCTTCATCCGTCCGAGATAACCCTACACTAGTTGCAGATAGGGGGACATGATTTTACAACTGCTGCATCAATGCTTCTGCAGGGATTTCCAACATTAATTTCAAATGTCAGTTTTCCATTTATAATCTCAACAGGTACCACTTGGGGGGTGGGATGGAAAAGCACCTAGTGTTGAAAAACAGAATGGCTTTACCCACAAGAATAAAGTGGAAAGTGACAGAGAAAACTTAAATTTGTAGTTGCAAAAGGCCATCTTCTGCAGCAGTCTGATTTCATACTCTGCTGGTAAAACAATATCCAGTCCAGCAATATTTCCACCCATATTTGATTTCCCATTTCTAGAGGATCTCCACCAACCACCAGCACCAGTAGCTCCAGCTTGACTAATGATGTGACAAAGCAGCCGGTCAACCGGGACCTGTCATCTGTAAGACCTGCAAATGTGGGCAACATGGGGGTGCAATACACTCCCCACTCCCACCAGTTTCCTAGGACAAGGAAAATGTTTGACAAGGGCCCAGATCAGGTAAGATCATAGTCTTCCCTGTCTCATTGTACTCCAGTCCCTGAAATAACTTTCATTTGTTTTGCTTCTTCTCCAGTTTTTGATATGTCAATACAAATAAGATATTTATTTATTGTTGTTAGCTTTACAGCTTTAAAAAAAAATCAAAATAAAAAACCACCACCACCATGTGACTTAATAACAAAACAAAAGACAATAAATGCAACAGATTTATTGCATATAACAGATTTTTAAATTGTTTCCCCCCCTAATTTTATCCTTGCAATGACCTGTGAAGGTAGGGCAGGCAGAGACTAGCCCAAGGTCACCTGGTGAGCTTCATAGCTTGAGTCCTTCAGTCCTATTCCAAAACAAAACCTTTACTCCATACAGTGACAAATGCAGCAAGGAAATAAATGTAGAGTACAAGTTCTGGATGCGGGTGGCGCTGTGGGTTAAACCACAGAGCACAGGGCTTGCCGATCAGAAGGTCGGTGGTTCGAATCCCCGCGACAGGGTGAGCTCCCGTTGCTCGGTCCCAGTTCCTGCCAACCTAGCAGTTTGAAAGCATGCAGTGCAAGTAGATAAATAGGTACCGCTCCGGCGGGAAGGTAAACGGCGTTTCCGTGCGCTGCTCTGGTTCACCAGAAGTGGCTTAGTCATGCTGGCCACATGACCCAGAAGCTGTACGCCGGCTCCCTCGGCCAGTAAAGCGAGATGAGCACTGCAACCCCAGAGTCGTCCTCGACTGAGCTTAACTGTCAGGGGTCCCTTTACCTTTACAAGTTCTGGTGCTGATCAATCTGAGCAGAAATACAAGTGAAGGCAGTCCTTCAGATACGATAGTCATAACCTAGTATAATAATGTGATACAGGAAAAATCTCTGGCTGCTAGAAATGTGATACTATGCCTACAATCTTTTCCAGCCTCTCTTCCTCACTGCATATTTTTGCCATTCTTGATGGCATGCAATTTCTCTCCCTGAAAATACGGTTTCCTTTTGTAACCTAATTCTGTTAATGCATCTTGAGAAAGGCTTCTTCATGCGCTACGCTTTTGTGTGAACTTATAGCTTACAGAATAAACACTGTGGTTTAGTGTTTTAAAACCTTTTTGAGATAGGTACATATGTCAGGGATCTTTCAGTTGGGCTCTGTCTCTCTGCAGTGTTGACTATAAGGGGAAACACTTGCAGCCGTAAGTCTCAGGAGCCATTCAGGTTACCAGATGCAATTTAGAAGTGGGCTTCTTTTTTCTGTAGTATTTTCATAGAAAGGATATTTGAATGTGGACATGCCAGTTTCTCTTGTCATTTTGGTGTCATTTCACCTTCTGAAATTCTCCCTTTTATACTTCTACTGAAGACACAGGTGCCCTGTTCAATATTAAAATTGGCACCCTAGCGAATACAGGTCTCTGCCTCTTAGACAGCATTAATATACTTTTCACGAGGCCAGTATGTGTTTGTGTGTGTGTGTGTGTGTGTGTGTATTTCCTTTCAAAGGCCTAAATTCATATGCTTCTTTCAAACAAATATGTACAGCATTTTGGGACAGCATATACAGTGGTGCCCCGCAAGACGAAATTAATTCGTTCCGCAATTTTTGTCGTCTAGCGAATTTTTCGTCTTGCGAAGCACGGTTTCCCATAGGAATGCATTGAAAATCAATTAATGCGTTCCTAGGGAAACCGCTTGCCAGGCTGGCGGTGCGGAGAAGGGCTTTTCTCCCCACCGCAAGCCTTCAGCACAGGTACGGGAACAGAGGGGAAGGCGCGCAGCGCTTTCCCTCTGTTCCCGGGGCTTGCGTGGGAGGAGGGTTTTTCCTCCCCACCGCCAACATTCAGAACAGCATTCTGAATGTTGGCGGTGGGAAGGAAAACCCTTCTCCCACCCCAAGTCTTCAGGACAGCCATCCGAAGGCTGGCGCGGGGAGAAGGTCTCTCCGCCCCCCCCCCCACGCCAGGCTTCGGTGCATCCTTCAGAGGCTGCTGCCATAGTCACGCGTCACTTCTCCAGCTGGGAGAGGGTCGCGGGGCTATGGTTTCTTTAGCCCCGCGCGCACTCTCCCGGCTGGAGAGGTGACGGGCGCCTATGGAGGTTCCTGCCATATGCGCGCGTCACAACTCCAGCTGGGAGAGGGTCGCGGGGGGCTGGTTTAGCCCCGCGCGCGCTCTCCCGGCTGGAGAGGTGACGGGCGCCTATGGAGGCTCCTGCCATAGGCGCGCATCACATCTCCAGCTGGGAGAGGGTCGCGGGGGGCTGGTTTAGCCCCGCCCGCGCTCTCCTGGCTGGAGAGGTGACGGGCGCCTATGGAGGCTCCTGCCATAGGCGCGCGTCACAACTCCAGCTGGGAGAGGGTCGCGGGGGGCTGGTTTAGCCCCGCGCGCGCTCTCCCGGCTGGAGAGGTGACGGGCGCCTATGGAGGCTCCTGCCATAGGCGCGCATCACATCTCCAGCTGGGAGAGGGTCGCGGGGGGCTGGTTTAGCCCCGCGCGCGCTCTCCTGCCTGGAGAGGTGACGGGCGCCTATGGAGGCTCCTGCCATAGGCGCGCGTCACAACTCCAGCTGGGAGAGGGTCGCGGGGGGCTGGTTTAGCCCCGCGCGCGCTCTCCTGGCTGGAGAGGTGACGGGCGCCTATGGAGGTTCCTATGGAGCTGTTCCTGGAACAGCTTTCCGAAGTGGGGCGGCTGGGGCAGATGTCCCCGCCCCCCCCCCTCTTCGGAACAGCTTTCCGAAGTGGGGCGGCTGGGGCAGATGTCCCCGCCCCCCCGCCCCACTTCGGAACAGCTGCAAAAGACGTCAGGGGGAAGCGGGGAAGCGAAGCGCTTCGCTTCCCCGCTTCCCCCGACGTCTTTTGCAGCAAGGGGCTGCAGGGAGATCGCTATCTCCCCCCAGCCCCTTGCTTCAGAAGAGGTCCGGGGGAAGCGGGGAAGCGAAGCGCTTCGCTTCCCCGCTTCCCCCGACGTCTTTTGCAGCAAGGGGCTGCAGGGAGATCGCTATCTCCCCCCAGCCCCTTGCTTCAGAAGAGGTCCGGGGGAAGCGGGGAAGCGAAGCGCTTCGCTTCCCCGCTTCCCCCGACGTCTTTTGCAGCAAGGGGCTGCAGGGAGATCGCTATCTCCCCCCAGCCCCTTGCTTCAGAAGAGGTCCGGGGGAAGCGGGGAAGCGAAGCGCTTCGCTTCCCCGCTTCCCCCGACGTCTTTTGCAGCAAGGGGCTGCAGGGAGATCGCTATCTCCCCCCATCCCCTTGCTTCAGAAGAGGTCCGGGGGAAGCGGGGAAGCGAAGCGCTTCGCTTCCCCGCTTCCCCCGACGTCTTTTGCAGCAAGGGGCTGCAGGGAGATCGCTATCTCCCCCCAGCCCCTTGCTTCAGAAGAGGTCCGGGGGAAGCGGGGAAGCGAAGCGCTTCGCTTCCCCGCTTCCCCCGACGTCTTTTGCAGCAAGGGGCTGCAGGGAGATCGCTATCTCCCCCCAGCCCCTTGCTTCAGAAGAGGTCCGGGGGAAGCGGGGAAGCGAAGCGCTTCGCTTCCCCGCTTCCCCCGACGTCTTTTGCAGCAAGGGGCTGCAGGGAGATCGCTATCTCCCCCCAGCCCCTTGCTTCAGAAGAGGTCCGGGGGAAGCGGGGAAGCGAAGCGCTTCGCTTCCCCGCTTCCCCCGGACGTCTTTTGCAGCAAGGGGCTGCAGGGAGATCGCTATCTCCCCGCAGCCCCTTGCTTCAAAAGAGAAGACCCGCTGTCCCCGGGGCAAGCTTCGTTTTGCGAAGCAAGCCCATAGGGGAATTCGTCTTGCGAGGCAAATCGCGGACGAAAAAACCTTTCGTCTAGCGAGTTTTTTGTCTTGCGAGGCGTTCGTCTTGCGGGGCACTACTGTAGTCCTTAAATTTATTTATTACTTATTATAATATTATAGCAATCCTTGGAATTCTTCTATGGCCCCCTTTCACACCTCCCATTTGCATAGTTGGAAACATGTGTCAATGTTGTCTTTTCTTATAGGCAGTGGTAGAATTGGAAATAGCACCTGGCCACCTGGTTCATAGGTAGCAACTTTCATAGAAAATACTGTAAAGCTTGAGGAACCAAGCTGGTAAAAGTCAGGGTGGTGTAGTAGTGGTTAGAATGTTGGACTAGGACTGGGGAGATTCAGTTTCAGTTCCCCACTCAGCCATAAATCTCACTGGGTGCTGTAAAAGCAGTAACATCAGAAGACAGGGATGCATCAAGAATGACACATGAGAAGTCACTTAAACAAAATTGTATTCATTTGGAAATAATTTGTATAATTGGGTTAAGACCTGGAAAATCAATTTTAGAAATTGGCAAAAATAAATAAATCTTGCCCAAGGTCACACAGTAAGATTTTTTTTTTTTGCCAATTTTTACAATCTAAGCAACCTCACAGGGTTGCTTTGAGAATGAAATGGAGCAGGAAAAACCTTGGAAGACAGTGGCATATATAAATGTAATGAGCATTTTCATATATATTTTTCATCCGAGTGGCCTCACCACCATTTTCAGTAGTATGCATATATGACTGCAAATATGATTGGAGGGCTCCCTCAGCTACTTTGTTCAGTCCTGGCTGTGTGACTCTTTAACAGCATTCTGTACTTGTGTTTGTGAAAAGAGATTGACTTTATTTGGTTGAGCTTAATAGTGTACGTTGCCCTTGAACAGGATCACAGGAGAATGTTGGTATCTATCACATAGAAAGATACAATGGTTGTCTGCCCTAAGAAGTGCTTCCCCTAGTTAGTGTTACCAAAATGGTCAAGATATGTACCAGATACTTTCTTATAGGGCATAGCAACTTCTGTGGCATGTAATATTTGAGAGCAAAATATGGCCACATTCCACCACGATTGGCTTCAGAAATAATATTCAGTGGTACCTTTGGTTACAAACATAATTCGTTCTGGAGGTCTGTTCTTAAGCTGAAACTGTTCTTATCCTGAGGCGCGCTTTCGCTAATGGCACCTCCCACTCGCATCCTGGGGCAAAGTTCGCAACCGGGAGCAACTACTTCCAGGTTAGCGGAGCTCTTAACCTGAAGCGTTTGTAACCAGATGCATTCATAACCAGAGGTACCACTGTACTAGGCTATCTTCTGATTTGGCGGCGGCGGGAGGGGGGAGGTTGTTCCAATAGACTATTATTGGATGGTGACATCCTATTGTGGTTGATGTGATATACACTCGGAGAAACCAGATGTGCAGGTACTGTAACTGAAGCACGTGTACCTTTGTTTCCTCACTTTTCTCTGGACAGACAGCTGATGATGCCGATGATACTGTGGGGCATAAAAACTTCATGTCAGCAACAATGCAGACGGGGTTTTGTGACTGGAGTGCCAAGTATTTTGCTCAACCAGTGATGAAGGTACAGTCTGCCTTTCTTCTATTAGCCCTTTTCTGAATTGCAGAATCAATTGAATGCACATCACCCTAAAAATCAAATTACTGCTTGCACATGTACACACATGCATATGCATGCGCGCGCACACACACACACACACACACACATGCATGTTCACACTGCCAAGTTCTCATTCATGATCTCCTCTCTCTCTCTCTTTGTTCATTTACTTTCTGTTCCAGGAGTTGAGCATTTATTTATTTATTTTAAACACACACACACAAAAAACACCCAGCAGCTATTGATTCCTTCTCTTTGGTAATAGCCTGGCATGCAGATTGATAAATATTACAGGTTTCATTCACCGAATGCTTTGTAACTGCTTGTCAGTTTTGTGCTTTAGCTAACACTTCCCAGCTCATTCTGAATCCATCCCGTCTGGTTTTATCAGCAGTAGGAAAATAATACATGTGTGTGGAAGGGGAGTGGTGGTTTGTATTGTACTCATTGTTTTCATAAGCATGCCCCTGCTTCTGCCACATTCAGAGTCCTGCCACTGGAGTGCTGCAAACTGAAGAAAGGCGTGGGGCATGAAAGTCAGAGGTTACATATGTTTATAGCCAGTGCTGGGTTAATGGACAAGCTAAGTAAGCTACAATTTAGGGGCTCAGATTATGAGGGGCCTCTAAATACAAAACACACATACAAACCCCACCCCAAAGATTTCTAAGGTTTTTATGATCTGTTAAAACACACAGGAGAACATACATTTTTGTTCTGATGTGACAATAATATATTTAGTACCATATTTATCATACTGTGATTATAAATCAACTCTCATTGGGTGACATCCATGGCTTTGCTCTCAAAAAAAAAATCATGAAAGAAAGTGGTTTACATTTTGTGTTATGTGCAGAACACACACAGTAGATGCTGTGTGGACTCTTCCACTTAGTAAGTGATAGACTGCATGTTTAACGGCTCTTGTGCTGCTCTACATTTAAAAAAAATCCTATGTGCTAAGAGGGTACATTATATAGAAACAGGAATACTGCAAGATAGTTTGTTAGTTTTTAATTGCATCCTCACTTATGTACCAGTATAAATTCAAATATAAAAGTGTATTATTTCATTGTCTTTTCTGTTAGAATAGTACACATTTGGGCTCTCTTGATCATGACATAGTTTAGGGCCTCCGTCTTAGCCCTGTTTGTAGTGCCACTTGTTGCAAAAAGGTATAATGGGCCATATTGGGTGGTAGCAAGAACCTATATGTGGATCAACAAGATTGCAGGCTCCCTTTCCACATACACAGCACAGCATAAAGGATGGCAGATCTCTTTCCACAACCATGGGATCCCATTCTACCATACAAGTAGAAAGTAAAATGACTTGCACATCCTCTGTACCTAATGATAAGCCAAATTGTGGCTTAGTGCAAATGCACAGACTCCCAGAGAGATTGTGGCCCCTTAGCTCCTCTCTGGTTGTTTTCCTGCTGTGCTGCACAGAACTAAGCATGACATAGTGTGTTTTCCAGACCTGGACTCATGGTTTAGCTCTCCCAGTCAACCCATGAGCTATAAGCCACAGGGCAAACCTTGGTTCATGGTTAGTCTGGAGAGATATAAACCATAAACTCAAGTTCAGTAGACATGCCAAGCCATGGCTTAGCTGCAGCAGCAGAATGACCAGTGAGGAGCAAAGTGGCTGCAATCTCCTCTCTTAGGGCTCACACATTCACCGTAAGCCATTGTTTTTGAAGCTGGTGATTCAGAGCTCACAGGGCCCAAAGCTGGTGGTTTGGAGCACGTATAATCTGAGGCTGGTGGTCCTGAGCCCACACAGCCTAAGGCAAAAGCTTCACATATGCTGTCCCCTGAGCCTAACCCACCAGCGGAATCTAGTCCTTTCCACACTATCACAGCTGCCCCACTGTGCAGGAAGCACACCAGGCAGGAGGCCACAGAATTCACAGAAAATGTAAGCCAAATTTACCATCAAGTATGCATTCAATAGGGACGCGGGTGGCGCTGTGGGTAAAAGCCTCAGCGCCTAGGGCTTGCCGATCGAAAGGTCGGCGGTTCAAATCCCCGCGGCGGGGTGCGCTCCTGTTGTTCGGTCCCAGCGCCTGCCAACCTAGCAGTTCGAAAGCACCCCCGGGTGCAAGTAGATAAATAGGGACCGCTTACTAGCGGGAAGGTAAACGGCGTTTCCGTGTGCGGCTCTGGCTCGCCAGATGCAGCTTGTCACGCTGGCCACGTGACCCGGAAGTGTCTCCGGACAGCGCTGGCCCCCGGCCTCTTGAGTGAGATGGGCGCACAACCCTAGAGTCTGTCAAGACTGGCCTGTACGGGCAGGGGTACCTTTACCTTTACCTTTTTATGCATTCAATGGGACACGGGTGGCGCTGTGGGTTAAACTACAGAGCTGAAGACTTGCTGATCAGAAGGTCGGTGGTTCGAATCCCCGCAATGGGGTGAGCTCCTGTTGCTCGGTCCCTGCTCCTGCCAACCTAGCAGTTTGAAAGCGCGTCAAAGTGCAAGTAGATAAATAGGTACCGCTCCGGTGGGAAGGTAAACGGCGTTTCCGTGCGCTGCTCTGGTTCGCCAGAAGCGGCTTCGTCATGCTGGCCACATGACCCGGAAGCTGTACACCAGCTCCATCAGCCAATAAAGCGAGATGAGCATTGCAATCCCAGAGTCAGCCACGACTGGACCTAATGGTCAGGGGTCCCTTTACCTTTATGCATTCAATAGAGAGCTGCAGCTAACAAGGCAGTTTGGCTCCTTGTGCTTGCCAGCTTCCAGGTGGATTGATGGGGGTGGGGGGTTGGAAAGGAGATGAGCTGGAAGGGACCGTTTCCCTTTTATAATCAGCAGAAAATGCCAAGGAGGACAGCGAGGAGTAAGAGGACACCAGGACAGAGAGAGATTGCAAGGGAGGAAATGTCGCAGCAGCATAAGAGAAGGTGTAAAAGTGATAGATGGCTTGCAGGAGGGAGGGTAGGCAAGCCCCTATGATGAACTGGCCTGTAAACAAGTCATTTGGAGGCAGTGTTCTCCAGCCATTTTTGATGGCCCACCAAGTAGGAAACAAAGTAAAAAATGAAGAAAACCTCATGAGAAAGAGCCCAGCTATTGCACAGTGCAAGTCATTCAGTCTGCTTTCTGGACCTCGAGAATGAGGGCTCTTGTCCCATTCAGCCATGGACCTTGGATGACAACCTTTCAGCCCGTATTTCCATTAGTAAAAACAGGAATAATAGCAGCCTGCCTCACAGAATATGAATGAGAGGTGGGTTGTATGCCAAACAATGCTATATAAATTATGTATAATAATGACACCAAAATCATCACAATGGTACAGGGAAGGACAGCTTCTAAGCAGCTGTCTGCATACTTGCTGCAAACAGCTGTGTTTTCTGTATCTTTCCTTGCTAATTACTACAGAGGTTTGTGTTCAAAGAAAAACTTGCTCCCTCCCCTCTCATCATGCTTCTATTCATCTCCACAGTAAAGAGGCAGTGCTGAATTCATGATTCTGGAATTACATCTAATACCGTGAGCAAGCTATTGCTATGCCTCTGACTGTTACCGAAAATGCCAAACCTTCATTGTGCATTTTGCACATTATATCTAACCTACACACAAGCAAGGTGAAGTGGGAAGGACTGAAGAAGAGAGCTGGGCTGGGGTGGGTTCAAGATTTGAGCACAGGAATGTAGGCCAAATACAGCACAATCTTTCAGCTCACATGCTATGTTGAGCAACGTTATGTTCATATTTTATTTGTGTGCCATGAGGGTTAACAAACAATTTTTCCCTGATGCAGATAGCACTTGAGCTTCCTGGGAGAGTTGCAGTGATTAAGTATTCTGCCTGTCTGTTGTCCCAGAGGGACATCAACAACAAACTTTTTTAAAAAAATGCCAGTTTTTGCTTGCTGTGTAATTAAAGCCTCTGCTTTTCAACAGCAAGGGCCGAACTGTTGGTGTCTCACTCTCTTTGCTGTTTCTAGCTGTATTAATGTTGAAGCAACACTGGAAGATTTTGCCTTAAGTAAAAGCTTTCTAATCCAGGAGGGAGGTCAGCAAGTCACATAATCTTCTTGGACCAAGAGTTGACCTTGCTTCATTCCATGCATCTTTGGGGTTTCCATTTGTCACCAGGCTGTTTATCTACAATCTGAATTCATTGGTATCCATATGTCTTGAGAGAGAATGGAAGAGTGTGCCATTGGAGTCAACTGTTAGGAGAGTTACAGTGCTTGCTGTGGCTGTAGAGAACAACACAGAGTTGGTCTACCAATGGGCCTGGTGCCTGAAGCCAATTCCCCATAGAATTGGGGGTCCTGCCATCTTTCATCTGTGGACATTACCAATCTAGTGTAGACATCACTGAGACAGAAGTGTGAACATGCTGGGAAGGTAACCTTGGAACAACACATCTTTGAGACTGTCCTGCCATGTGGTACCCCTGGTTCTTCCTGATGTGGAAAGCATCAATGGAAAAGGTTCTGGTTATGGTGGAGCCCAGTTAAACAAAATTGTCTACCACCTCAAGCCTGGGGTCAGAAATGCTGGTGCATGGTGTGCTAGCAAGACCCTGACCCAAGATGTCAGGCCGATGGTCAGGCCAAACTCCATGCAGGCTTGGAAAAACATTTGATGAGTCTCTGCAGAGCTTCCTCAAGTCTTTGTCATCTGCAAACAACATCTCTCGGATAAGAACCCGCCACTTTTGTCTTGGTGTGGAGACATGCCACATTGAACAGACCCCCTCCCCATCTTCTGTCAAGAGCAACAGAGGGAAGAACATGCCAAAGAGAGTTGGGGCAAGAACACAGTCCTCCTTCACACTGCTCTTTAAAGGGAAGGTGTCTCAGGATGAAGCATCATACTGGATTGTGCCACACATGTTCTCATGGAAGGACATGGCCATTTTGTGGTGCTTAGATGGGCATCCTATCATGTTGAGCAGTGGGCATCCTATCATGTTTAGATGGGCATCCTATCATGTTGA